TCTCCTCATCTCCCACTCCTACAGCCATTCCTTAGCATAGCCAAGAGAACCAGCAGATCCTGTGCTTCAGTGCAGCCTCAGGTAGGCAGGTGTCTTCCAGTGGCTAGACTGCCCCATGCTCTGATGTAGCTTCAGAAGGACAGGCATCTCCAGCAGCCAGATCTCCTGTTCAAGCACAGCCCAGAATACGCAGACGTCCTACAGCGGCAGACTTCCCCCTGCTGCAGCACAGCACCAATCGGTTTTTCTAGTTTCCAGTTTGGATTTCTTAGTCCCATGCAAAAGTTGTCCAAGCATGGGTCACCAACTGGAGCTCAGCACAGCTTGAGCTCTTTCAGGTTCTGACTCTTGTTGACCACAGAGAAGAGATCTTGCCAAATACCATCAGGTACATCACAAACACAGTAACTGGGGGACCAGGAGCAGATGATAACATTGGAATCAGAAGCAGGGTTAATGCCAATGTCAAAAAAATAGTCTAAGTGAAAAGACTTGGCCTGAGGAGGTTGGGAGAACTGGAGCAGGAACTAGTCCAAGGTCCTCCTTTGAGACTTGCTCCCACAGCTCCCTCAGGCCCATCTTCTTCTAGACATTCAGAGCCAGCTCCCAGGCCTTTTGCTCCCCAAGAGAACCAAGAGATCAGCCATTTTTGTGCAATTGGTCCCCTCCAGAGAGCCCTGAGGGAGCTTGTCCACCAGGTACAGCTTGAATTTCTTCAGCTTCTCCAATGTCAGGTGCTCCAAGTGCTGAACCAGCTGGCAGCAGACATTCCTGCCATCTCAGCCCCCTTTGCTGCCCTCCCTCAGACTAAGTCGGACCAAGTTCAGAGGCCAGCTTCTTCACCTTGAGCAAGATGTGCTGAACTGGGGTGATGCTTCCAGGCAAAGGTTGCCCTAGGGCCCAAGGCCATTGCCGGGGGTTAGCTGCTGCCTCTCCCTGCTCCTTCCTTTCCCAATGGGGGAGGGTGAAATCAAAGGTGAGGGGTAAAGGGTGAAACTCTCTTCTCCTATGAGAGAGGTTAGCAGATACCCTCTTGACTCAAGGGAAGGGAGTGAGAGAAGGAAGTGACCAGGGTTATAAGGAGGAGTTTTAAAACTCCTTAATGATCAATCATAAAACCTCCAGAATCTGCCAAAATATTTTTAGCTGTTCTAACTTTCCCCTGTAACTCCATGATGTATTCAGAGGTGTAGAGGGGAGTAAGTAAGCCTCAGGGAACCAAAAAGCAACTGCAGTTTTCTCCAATTCCCTAGTGCCGAGAGAACTGACAGGATTGGGCATACACTTCCAGACAGGGCGTCCATGCCTGTTCTCTATGCTGTGGAAGGTGTACCCAGGTCCATGGCCTTGAACTGACCCAGTGGACCGAGAGCCTGAGAGGGTCAGGCTGAGTACAAGACAGCCTCTTAACTGTCTGCCTGAAAAGTACCTCCAGGCCTTGGTGCTTGGAGAGCAACCCCAACTGCAGAGCAAGAAAGGCGGGAGGGGGCAGGGAGGCTTATATACCTTCTAGTCTTGTCTGGAGAAGAACTTGGGGTTAGGCAGTTTTCCTGTATGGACCACCAAAAATGTTGAGTCTTAGGGGTTTAGGGGTGCTGGGACCCCAATATCACAACATGCGGATCCTTTCCAAAAGAATTCCATCCAAGCCTTCTTTCAGCCAAAGACAAGATTTATTAGAACGTCTGTCATACTGGCCAGATTTAAGGAGTCTGAATGTTAGTTGGCTATTGGCTAGATTTTAAGACTCTAAGCCACATCTTCCTGATTCTAAGGTAATTATTGTTTTATCCCTCATGACATAGTGTTGTTGTTGTTATTATTATTATTATTATTATTATTATTACCAAGCCTATGATTTCATTGGTATAGGAGCTCTGGATAAAGAACTCTTTCTGCCAGTGCAAAAAAAGCACCTGCTCTGCAACTCTCAGTCTAGTCTAACCCAACAAACATTTTATAAAGTACCTACCATGTGCTAGGGCTACAAAGACAAAAGAAATAGCAAAAGAGTCATCTTTCCTTAGTGGCTATCTTGAACTGCTAGGTGACACAGAGGCTAGAGTGCCAGGCCTGAAGTCAGGAAGACTCATCTTCTTGAGTTCAAATCTGGCCTCTGATACCAGCTGTATAACTTTGGGCAAGTCACTTAACCCTGCTTGCCTCAATTGTCTCATCTGTAAAATAAACTGGAGAAGAGAAATGGCAAACCACTCCTGTATCTCTGCCAAGAAAACCCCAAATGAGTTCATGAAGAGTTGGACATAGCTGGAAGGGAAAAAAAACCCATGACTGATCCACTTTTCTTTCTCCCAAGGGATTTTTACATTCTTTTAGGGAGGGTTGAGGGGGATATAACATGGGGATATAACGTGCACAAATTTGAATGGGTGGGAGATAGCACTAACAACTAAGGGAAACTAGATGATTAAATATTCCTTGATGGCAGGGGCTCCTGTCTCATAGGCTTCTTTGTATTCCTAGCATCCAGCATGGTGCCTTGCCCTAGTAAGCATTCCTCAAATGTTTATCAATTTTTAATGGTACTGATAATGATGATCAAGTTCAGGAAATATTGGATTAGAATTAAAGTAAATATGCCAAGAAATCTTAATTAAGGGGTTCCTAGCAATCTTTAATTCCCCTTTTTGCTGTCAGGAAATGGAAAAACTGAATCAAAATTCACATAACCTTGAACTGAATTTGTAAGTAAAAGGTTTCATTTTGGAAACAGCCTGAAAATACATAAATGCTGTGACTTCTATTTTGATAGCATACTAAACTCTAACCATAACTGCTTGCAAAACCTCAAATATTTCTACAAATATGATACAGACATTCTGGCTCTACCTGGCTATATTTGGGAAATACTGGAAAACACTTATTTGTTAGATGAGTGTTTGAAAGCAAATCTCTTCCACATGGAAACCTGTTTGATTTAGTCTGAAAAAACTATTTTTTAAAAGATTAGAACCAAATGAATGCTAGTATAGGGGAATACCGTTACGAGATTGGCTTCCAAATAGGACTTCCCTCCTTTTAACAGTTTGTACAAGCCAGGAAGAGATCTGCCTTCCTCTCTGTCCTTTAGAAAAAAGAAAACCAGGGCAGCTAGGTGGCACAGTAGAAAGGGCACCAGCCCTGAAGTCAGGAGGACCTGAGTTCAAATCTGGCCTCAGACCAAACACTTGACACTTATTAGCTGTATGACCCTGGGCAAGTCACTTAACCCCAATTACCAAAAAAGAAAACCTAGGTTTTTCATACTATGGGTAATAGAAATCATTTTTTCTGTCTTTGGTTTCTCATATTAAGAGGAAGTTGCTTTAAACTTTTGAAACAGGGTCTCAGAGTAGGATAATGAGAATTATATGACAGTAATAAGTTGTTAAATTTTGGACTGAGTTTTAAAGAGAGGTTGCAGAATTTCTCAAGGTTGTTTGAAATAGGAAGATTACTGCCTGTTATAAGAAGAGATTGGGGAATCTCTGAATTGGTGAATTCTCATGGAACTGGATTTCATCTTGACTGCTTGCTCAGGGACATTCACAGGAAACTCCTGATGGGTTCATCAGTGCCTTGGGGTATGAGGAGTTGGGTCAACAATATGTGATCAAGTGTCAGAGGGTCAGAGACTTTTATTGAAGAAATGTTCTCCCTGAACAGAGTCTACAAGACATGTGGAAATGATTCTGCCCTCCCTCTCCATTTAGGCAAGTTTTCTCTCCCATAGAGGGGCTTTCTCCTTGTTCTTGTAGAGCAAAGTGGGGAGGAAAGGTTACTTTAGCACTCATCTGTCTTCTCTGATCCCAACCCCTCCATGCTCAGTTATGAGTCATCTTTAGCTCAACCCCCTAGTCAATGGGACCCAAACAGTAGTTCCCTGGGCTATCCTCAGCAAAGAGCCAAAGTCCAGCTTCATGGGAAGCTAATGGTCTAATAATTCAGGGGTTCCCCAATCATTTTTGGTCTATTTTTATCTTGATTTTGACGTCTGCTGACCAAAGCAGGAGGACAGATGAGATGATTTCTCAAGCCTCCTCATGGCCCTAAGGTTTACAAAATTTGCTCTGATTTTTAATATAAGTCTGAAAATCTAGACTATTTTGGTATAAGTTATATAGAAGTGGTGATAGGGACTGCAATTTCATTTATATGGCAAACTCCCAGGGGAGTAAACTTCCTCTACCAATTCACATTGGCATCCTCTCTCCAATTTACAGTCTTAGAGACTTGCCTAGTGCACTGAGATGTTAAGTGCCTTGTTCAGTCATGAAGCTAGTATGTGCATCAGGGGTAATACTTGAAACCACTCTTCTTGGCTTTGAATCTGGTTCTCACTCAGTAGCAATGATTTGGGGGCAAAAAGTATTACCTCCCCCTGCCCACCTCCATCCCATTCTGTCAGTCTCTTCTTACCTGACTACTCTCAAGCTATTTTCTTTCCCATCAATAAACATAATTTCATCTTCAAAATTCAATCGTTAGTGGAGGATAAAAGAGAGAAAACAACTTGCACGTTAATGATGAAGATGCAATGAGATGGCTTGTGCTCAACAGTTAGTTCCTTGAATGATCATTCCTTTAGATACATGCAAAAGCATACATCCATTAAATAAAGGTACTGTTCCTAAAAAGCATGATCCAGTAAACCCCACCTGGGTTTTCTGGGTGTTTTAACTACTTCTCTGTAATCAAAAACTGTAAGCAAAAGGGTGTAACTAGTCAATCAGCACATAGCCCTGGACCAAAGGCTATGCAAATGGCAGATCAAGGCTACTTTCACATAATGGCAAAATGCCAGGATTAGTAGAACCATTCATTTAATCCCTTTATATTTAATCTCTTTTCTGAAACAGAAAGCAACATGTCCTGACCTGGCATGATTGTCTTCTTGCACTCCAAGCATTTGGAAGAGTACTCATTGGAGTAACACTCAGTACAAAGGAGATGCTCATCTTTGGCAGCGAAAGGCTTGTCCACCAGAGAGTTCTTGCATTGGAAGCAGTGAAAGCAGCTCTCGTGCCAGTGCCGATCCTTGTAGGAAAGATCCTGCAGAATTCCAAACCACCAAGAAAATGGTGAGTATTTAGCAGAATTAAGAGTCAAGGAACCCTAAAGACATTTGGGCACAATTCCTAACCGGGGTTTATGATGCAAACCTGCAATGTAAAACAATCAAATGTCCAGTATCAGGACAGACACTGATGTTGTTTTGAATCTTGCCCTGCCTGCCTGCTGAAGAGAGAGTAAAATTGTTCATTTTTATGTCGATTTAAAATAGCACCTTAACTCCGTCCAATACAGTGACCAGCCACCATTCCAGGGGATCAATGATGAAGGATGCTTATCACCTGCTGACAGAGAAGTAATGAGATTCAAGATGCAGAATGAGACATACATTTTTTGACACTTCAATACAGGAATTTGTTTTTCTTGACTATGCTTATTTATTACAACGGGTTTGCTTTACTTTTCATTTTTCTAAATGGGTATGGGTGGGGAAGGAGAGAAAATAAATTCTTGCTAACTGAAAAAATAAATTAAAATTAAAAAATCAAAAAGCATCTCAGTTGGATTTTTGTGATGCTGTAGAAAAACAGGCAGCATTTCACTTAGGAGCCTCATTTTTTCAGTAAACATCAGTCTTCATGCTGGATAACACCCCCGACGCTGACTGACAATTAAGAATGCATTTTTCATATTTGGGAGGATCATTAAGGCTCTTTGGGGCCAAAAAGCAAGGTAATTTACTAAATTACATGCCAGTGTCTCGAAAGACCTAATGCAAAACCCAAAAGGTAGATCCAATTGTGTCCTATCTTCTTCTTATGACTGTTATTTTTACATTATTTTTCCTTTGGGTTTTTATTCACAACTGACCAGAAACTATTTATTATTGAAGAAAAGACAGAATTATGAATTAGAGACAAGTTCTCCTCATGATGCTTTGTTTCCTAGGCTATTAGGCAGTAGAACTATGCAATTAAAGCTGCCTGTCAAAAATATCTTTCTCAAGGTATTTCTGTTACTGAAAATTGTTAAGAGGAAGCATGTTGAGAAACAGCCATGTGCAAAAAGATGCTCCAAAGCAACCCACTTTCTCTACCTTTCTCAGAAGTGGAAGGTGTCTATATGGCAGAAAAAGGGGGCTGGCTCTGAATTAAGAGAACTTAAATTACCCCCTGACACTACTTAGCTTCCCTCAGCCTCAGTTTCCCCAAATGTAAAATGAAGGGAATGGATTAGTTGGTCCCTGAGGTCCCTTCCAGCTCTAGACCTATGAATTGCGGGGGGGGGGTGCTAGAGTGTAAAATGTTGAACTGTATTGACTTGGTGACCAGAACACAAATTTGGATGAGGCTATGGACTCCAAAACAGAACAGAACTATCTTGCTGAGATGTAAACTGAACCAAATCCATAAATGCAATTTTCTGACCTACAGCCCAAATCAGAGGCCCATCAGGTTACGACTTTTTTTCAGTCCTAAAAACTCATGAAGACTTTCTGTCTAGGTAGGCATGGTCCTGGGAGCACCGTACCAAAGAAATGACAGATCTTTTGATCAAGGTAAACTAAGCTAAAGTCAACTGGCTTGTTTTTCACTTACAATTTGGTTTAGTTGAAGCAATTTGAAAAATGTTGACACTTTGCAAATAATTGATGCATTTACATGCTGTAGCAGTGTAGGGTCCTAGATAAAGAGTTGGCCTCTGAATCCGGCAGGCACTGGACCAAGTCTAGTTTCTTACACAGAGTCTGTATTACTGCGGGCAAGACACTAAATCTCTCAGTGCTGTCAGGTAACTCTCTAAGACTCCAAATTAAAAAGCAGGTACAAATCCACATCTACAGATGAAGTTTCAGGGAGAATCAGAAGTTCTCTATACCAGTGAAATCACAGGTACTGTCTCTTCACCTCTATCCCTTTTCTAGATGCCTATGAAGTGTGGTGTGCTTGGAATCAAGACCTGGATTCAAATATTACCTTTGATACATACTAGCTATGATACTAGTGACCCTTAGCAAATCACTTTTCAGTGCCTCCAAGTAATTCTACTACTATAAATGACAGATGCCTATCAGGCTGCATTGTTTTCCTGCCAAATATTCATTAAAGCAACAAAATCATGGGTCTGTACCAAAAAAAAAATCAAAGGAATAAATCCATTACCCAACAATTATGTATATCTGAAAGGATAAACCTAATTCTGGTCTTGATTTTCACATTTTCCTTCTTCCCACTTTGGCTGGAAAACTCTTTTACCCAATAGCTGGAAGATGTTTGATAACATGACCATAAACCTGTGCCAGAGCATTTTTGTAGGCACTTGTTTTCACGATGTCTCTCTGTACCTTTGCACACAGCCTATGCCTTGTGCCTGGAACACTTGCCCCTTCTCACCTCCACCTCTTGGGACCCCTAAATCCCTTCAAGGCTCAGCTCCAGAGTGACCTCCTGCAAGAGACGTCATTGATCCTCATCCAGAATGAAGGACGAACAACAGCCTTCAGGAGACCTTTCTGGTATATCCCCATAGTTGTTGATGCCCCACCTCCAAATCACTTTGCTTTTATATTGTATGTATCCTTTATCTTTTTTATCTGTGAACATAGTGTACCACCTCTAAGAATTTAAGCTCCTTGAAGGCAGGGATTGTTTTGTATTTTCAAGTCCAGCACCTAGCATGATTCCTGGCAAATAAAAAACATTTAATAAATGTTTATTGCTTGATGTATCTTCTTGTCCAGATCACAGTTATCCCCTGCATGCCCTGGGTTTCTCTGAGATCAATAAGAGTACCACATACCATGATAACTAGGAAGAAAACACAATGAAGCACCTGCCCCTTGATCCTTTTACCACAAACAAAAAAGAAGGGAAAGAACAAGGTGGGCTAGAAATTTGGAACATTATGATGCAATGTGTTTTTTTTTTGTTTATTTGTTTTTTACCAAATGGAGATGAATACAAACTCCTTCAGCATTTCAGTCACTGGTCATAACACATCAACTGGCATCTCTCTACTCAGAAGAGGTTTCGGGTAGCTTGGGTCCTGTCCTCATCTATCCTAAGTGTTTAGAAAGAAACTCTCACAGGTATTTTCCTTTATCTGTATATTATCAGCATGTCCTGATATTCATATTTCTCTTTTCTTTTTCCATAATGGTTTTGTATAATGAACTCTTTTTTGTACTATTTCAAAGTTCTGAAGCAACCCAAATCTTAAACCTTTCTGTATCACATTTTACAACAATTCATTCAATTCATCTCCCCACCCCAACAAAGGAAGTTGAAAAAAAAACAATCAGTCTCAGGGGAGCAATCTTTTTTTTTCCTATCTTTTAATAGAAAAATGCAAGTTAGACCCAATTGGGAAGAGTTGTTTTTGTTTGTTTAAATCTCTGACACTGGTGTTCTGGAAAATGGAATGATAGGCTATCTTTATTATTATCTTCCATGACATGAAAAACATATACATATTTGTTGCTATTTTTTCCTTGTCTTCTCCCCTGGTCTCACCTACAATCCTCCTCACCTTCCAAGTTTGCTATTTGATTTCTGGATGAGATTGGTATGTGGGTTGTTTTCTGTTGCAACACTTCCCCTCCCACATACACACAAATAGTGTTCAATTATTCACTCTTTCCCTAGGTAGATTTCTTTAGGAAGCAATCAAAATCTGATTCAGACTCATGATGTGAGGGGAAAAAAAACAAACCAAAAACTAACTGGCATGTATTCTGTAGGTATAGACTTCTGAGTATGAATGAATTTTGGGGAAATGAGCTACAAAACAGCTGTAGTTTATTGTAACAAGAAAGTGTAATAAAATGGAACATGCCCATTTGGTCCTTTCTTGATCTCTCTGCTTTTTCTAGTTCCTTCTCTTAAGCCATTAAAAAAAAAGAAAAAGATGTTAACAGATCAGAGACACAGTAGAATTACATACTCTTCCCTCCTTTTCTCTGTCCTCTCTGATAGCACGTGTTCAATCAGCTTTTAGATACCAGGCAAATTAACTGTGTTTATCTCTCTGCTCTTCAATACTCTTGCTGTACTTCTAATGCACCCCCATCTAGCTGTCATATTTGTTATTTATTCAAGTTGAACATGCCATGTTCTCTTCCTTTCTTCTAGTACTATTTTCTAATTACTATGTGCCAATTGTGAAATACTACATTCTGGGGCTAGCCATGCAGAAGGGACCCAAGCTTCCATCTTTCTGTGGCAGTATGTCTATAGATGAAGTCCATGATTATATATGCTACCGGATTCATAAGAATGGCATGGTGATAGAGGCTTTACATCAGGAGACCAATATTAGGGCATGTGCTTTTCCCCACTTTCCCGGGGGGTTGTCAGAAGCCTTTACCCCTCAGACTCCTTAGGGACCTAGGAATGGGTTTTTGCAGACTGTTCTCTGTTCTTCTGACCCCACCCCACTTCACCACTGGACTGCCCTCTCTCTGTGCTACTGCTGTCTTGCTCTGCTCAACTGTTTTTTGCCTCAAGTAAAAAGGCTCTTAATTATAGTTCTGCTGCTTGCATTGCTAATTTAATTTCCCCCAATTGCCAGTTCAAGTCTGGCATTCTTACTTGATAGCCTTTCCTTATTCTTTCATTTCATTACATTAATATCAGTGTAATGGGGAACCTGGTTGCACAGTGGATAGAACTCTGGACTTGGAGTCAGGAAGCCCCTAATTCAAATCCGGCCTCAGATATTTACAGCTGTGTGACCCTAGGCAAGTTACTTAACCCTGTTTGCCTCAGTTTCCTCATCTGTAAAATGAGCTAGAGAAGGAAATGGCAAACCACTCCAATATCTTTGCCAAACTGGGTCATGAAGTGTCAGAAAGAACTGAAATGACTGAACAACAGCAACAAATGGGGAACTTAAATGGTGCAGTGAACTTGGAATTCACGAAGATCTTGAGTTCAAATCCTGCCTCAGACACTTATTAGCTATGTGACCCTGGGCAAGTTACATAACCTCTGTCTGCCTCAATTTCCTTCTCAGTAAAATGAGGATAATAATTGCATCTACCTCCCAGGGTCATCACAAGAATATTGGTAAATTTAAAGTGCTATTTAAATCCTAGCTGTTATTACTGTTAGTGGAAAAAGCACAGGATTAAGAGGTAGAGACCTAGGTCAAATTCTCTGCTACTTAATCAATGAAGCTTAGTGGTCCCAATTTCCTCAAGCTGCAAAATGTGGAGTGAGAGGAGAGGTGCTGAATCGGATGATACTAAAGTTCTTTTAGCTTTATGCATATGGCTGCTATCATTAAAACTAAACCACTATGTTTCATTTTTCTTTCTTGGCTTTCTTTGGTCATTTGAGAAGCCTAACAAAATATCTTCAAAGAATGGATCAAAAGTTTAAAGTGACCTTAAAGGTCATCTACTCCATCCCTTTCATTTGACAGATGAAAGGAACTGAAGCCCAGAGAGGATTAGTGACTTGCCCAAAGTCACACAGGCAGTAACAGTGCCAGAAAGGGCATTCCCACTCAGATCCCCTGGTCCCAAGTCCAGAGGTTCTTTCCACTGTACCACCTTGCCTCCTCTGACCAAAAAACAGGATTTGAGATCTTGATTAAAGTAGACCAAGTGGAAAATTTCTCTTCAGTCAGTCAACTGTTTCTTCTGTGCTCATCATGTCACCTGATAAAGAATTGCCCTCCCCATGGTGGAAAAATAGCAAAATGCTTTCCACATCCAGTGACTCATCTCCTAGCATGAGATGAGAAACCCAGGAGCAGGGGGGAAAAGGGGAAGAAATGTTAATGATTTTCATCTTTTGATGATGGTTTGTTTATACATATTAGCTACTCAGCTCAGAGGGTAAACCTCATGCAGAGACCTGGGATACAAGTTATTAGTATGGGGAAAAAAAGAAAAACAAACAGAAGTTCAAGGGATTTTGCCTTTTTAGGCTGAACTTCAAAAATTTTTGAGAAAGAACCTCCAAGCAAAACATCATGAAAGCTGAAAACCATAAGGACTTCATCATGGTATCCTGTCTTGCTTATTTTGAACCCAGTAACCACTAAAGGAGCAGTTTGGGGTGAATGCTTACATACATGGAGAAGATGAATTGAATAGGCCTGTTTTGAGTGCCCAAAGAAAAATCACTTAATGGGTCTTACATTTCTTACTTTCTTTCTGTCTTTTCTTTTTTTCTTTCTTTCTTTCTTTTTTTTTTTGCTTTTAGGCAATTGGGGTTAAGTGACTTGCCTAGGGTCACACAGCTAGTAAGCTTCAAGTGTTTGGTCTGAGGCTGGGTTTGAGCTCAGGTCCTCCTGACTTCAGAGCTGGTGCTCTGTCCACTGTGCCCCCTAGCTGCCCCGTGGTTCTTACATTTCTATAGAATTTTACTATCTACTAAGTGCTTCTTTAAGATACATCATTAAATTGAATCTCCATAACAACCTTACAGAGTACCTGAAGCAGTATTATCATTCCCAGGCAGCTAGGTGGCACAGAGGACAGAGTGCCGGGCCTGGAGTCAAGAAGACCTAGTTCAAATGCCACCTCAGACACTTAGTAGCTATCTGACCCTGGGTAAGTCACTTAACCCTGTTTGTCTCAGTTTCCTCATCTGCAAAATGAGCTGGAGAAGGAAATGGCAAACCACTCCAGTATCTTTGCCAAGAAAGCCCCAAATTGAGTCACAGAGAGTTGGACACAACTGAAACAACTGAATAATAACAATATACTGAGTGCTTTAAAATACATCATTACATTGAATCTCCATAACAACCTCATGGGAGTAAATTGGACCAGTATCACCATCTCCACTGCACATATAAGAACAATAAGACTCAGAGGGTTTAAACAACTTGATGAAAGCTGCTCAGCTAGTAAGTAATATGGCCAAGATTTGAATCTAGACTTAGGATTCAAGACCAATGAGCATGATTTAAATTCCAGGCAAAAATTCTGAACGCGTGCATGGAATGGTTAAGGAACTTCTAAGAAAGGAAGCATTGATCACGAAGCTCCAGTCAATAGGGCTTCATCAAGAACAAATCATGTTAAACTAATCTCACTTCTTTTGTTCAAAGGATTATTCAATCAGAAAATGCTGTAGTTATAACTTGCTTAAACCTTAGCAAGGCATTTAACAGAGACTTCCCATTCTTCTGAGAAAGACAGACATAGGATAAATGGCTTAAAAAACGATTTGGCCAGATCCAAAGGCTTGTTATTAATGGTTTGATGTAACTTGAAAGGAAGTCTCTAACGGAGGGTTTCCAAAGATCTGGAACAGGCCTTATGCTGTTTAACATTTTTATCAATGGCATAGATAAATGATAGATGATATAATTATCTAATTTACAGATGACACAACTCTAGAAGTGATAGCTTACATTTTGGGTCACGTGGTCAGGAGCCAAAAGAACACTACAGACCTTAATGCTAGGCCAATTAGATTAAATAAGGTGAAATTTAACAGGGCTAAATAAATATAGGGTTATCTACTGTGTAACCACTGAATTTGGATCCCATACTACAGTCCCTGAAATGTTGTTCGAAAAAGGAGAAATGGTGCTAAAGAAAAGAAAGATGAAAATAACACTAGAGTAGACCAGTGTTATGTGTTATGTGTTATGAAGGAGACACAGTTGTGAGGGACAGGTATTTAAAATAACTGAAATACCAAGCACTTAATTTGGGAGAG